GCGTGAGATCAAACTGAAAATAGTTACAATGAATTACCAGTGTCACTTGTTTCTTATATTATCTTTCTTAGATGATGGACACATTGATATGTCGATTTCATGAATACCGAAGGTTATTATTAATGATTAGAACCGCTCAACTTTTATACAAGAAACGTATCTTATATGTAACACTAATTTATATAAAATCAAATGAAGTTGTATTTGGTAAGTGATTAGTAGATATCAATATTCTCTCACATGATAAATCATGCTTAAGAGTTATTTAGTGACTAAAGGTAATAACGACGTCATGAATTTAACAATACTTCAACACAAACCTAATAAGCTGTATGTTTTTATTTGCTTTATGTTTGGTTGTCTAAAATAACCAAATTACAATCGATTTAACTACTAGATCAGACTCCCTGTACTTTTGAAAAAAAGGTGAGTTATAAACGCATAAAGTGAATAAACTAATTAAAGAATTTTAATTCAGAGCTGAGGAACAATGAATCCTCAAAATACTCCGTAACATATAAGGCATACGCTAAACATCTCACCCGGGATTTTTTACCACCTTCTTAAAGTGTTAAAATGTATGATACATTGAGAATGAGTCAACAATCATAGGTCAAAGCAAAGTTATGGCTGAAAACATTATAGTAAGTTTAAACTACTGAATCGGACAATTAATTCAGTCCATTGCTTGTATAGTTTAAAAGTTCATGTTTTAAAGTTATTTAGTTTAACTCTTTCAGTTTCTTTTGAACTGATAATCCAAACAACAACCAAATACAGAAGAGCAAGTTACATTAAAAATACTAAGTCGACAATGATTTATGTTTGATGGTGTTAAAAATATCAAATGCTGGATGCTAACACTGGTCTAAAATTGGTTCTGAGTTTGATTCCTGACACGGTCATAGGAGTTCACTCTTGAGGAGTCCTAAACTGGGACGAAAAAGCAGTTCATTGCTCTTTAGTTTCCAATAGTTCTCAAGTTAGCGCCATCTAATGTCGGAAACCATCATTAAATTGAACGAAGAACAAAACCAAATTAACTCAAATCATTTGTCTCATATATAAATCAATATTTATAACCTCATGTATACCGAGGTGTTATTTCTTCAAACTTTTAATATTGTTAATTGTTGCCAATTGGATAGCACTTTTTTAAAAACGAAGCAATGAAATTGGAAAAATAATAATTTTCACCCCTTAGACTCCAGTCTCATAAATGATTTGATTAAGAGTTCATTAATCATATATCTTTGTAAAGATGACTGAAAATTGATGTGATGAATTAACATGTTTATTGTCTACAAGTAAATGGTTTATATCATTCCCAAATTTTTTGTATAAGTTGATCACTTATCACAATTGATTGATCACTGGGTGGTGATCAATGTCATGCGTGTCAAGTGCTTCTTAGTACTGATCGAATGCTATCGATCAAGTTGCAATGCGGCCACCAGTCTAGATGGCTCGACACTGTGTGCGCTATATATTGAGATAAGATGGTGGTTTGAGGTGGTCAACAGGAAACCCTGGACCCGGGTTTCGTGCTACTTGGCACTCGTCAGCAAGGTGTACCTGTAATCTTGAAGGAACTGGTGCTCCCTGACGGATTCGACCCCGTGTCACTCAGCTTCACATTCAGAGACGTTACCACTGGGCTATTCAGGCCGCGATCATTTATACTATGACTAACTACTTATTGACTTACAACTCTTTAAGCTCTTTTTCCTTTCTATACACATAATATTAATCAATAAATTGTAATTAATTAATCCTGTCTCCACGATATAAATATTCAGTGTGTTTAATAAACAAAGTGCTCAACGTCTAATAGTGATCAATTATTCATTGATCTGTTTAAGTAAACGTTGTGTTTATAGGAGTAGTAGACAAATGTCAAAAGCAATCTTTTTTCAAATACTGAACTGAAAGTTTCGATTGTTCTCAACCTACTTTAGTTTGAACATCTGAGACGTGTAATTAGTTTACACATCCTTAAGTAGATAATTCAGTCGAATAAATGAATATGCATTTGGTTACCTAATTACATTGGTTAAACTAAGGTACAGGTAAGTAGCTGAATGTGTACACTGAAATTATGCAAAATAATTAATTATTTTTCATTCGTTTTGTCTAATGAATAGGGTTGAAATAGCTGATTTAATAGTTTACGTAACTTCTTACTAAATTCAACATCATTTTTTGACACAAAGATATCACGACAAATGTTTAGAGTTTTTATATGAAGTAAGTTTGCCAAATCATTTGCAAATACTGTCGTGAACTGTAAAAATATGAGTGTTTTGGAATTATCACTTCTCACTTCATTTAACAAAATATTCACAAGCATTTGAAAGGAAATCAAAAATGAATTAGATTGTCTGTATTCATAAGTTATTAAGTATGGAAAGAAGACAAAAGTAATCCTGTAAGCAAAACACTACAATCTAATGTAGCAGAAGTGAATCATAGAGAAACGGTGTTCCTTATAGAAACAGTCAAGTAGGAATTTAGACAATAGTTATTCATAATGAGCATTTTGTAAGAGCTTAAAGTACTTAAAAGTTAAGTGAGAATAAGTGTATAAAACAACTCAATGTACTAGTGCGAAAGATTCAATCTCGACAAATATTGTTACTTAGAACATCAATGATACAGTGACGTTGTATCATTTGTCACTGAATAGTGCAATACACCTAGAGGTACACTTGACTAAGAGTATGACAGGTATAGATAAGTTATTTTTACAGTTCTATGAGAAAATTAGAGAAACTTAGGTGGTCTAATTTTTTGTAACGATCTTTTATATCACTGTTGTTAATAACGTTTTATGATGGTCATAGCTAACAAATAAATACAATCATTTCACGAATAATTTCTTTTATTATAGTAGGTGATAAAACAAATAGATAAGAATTGCATCATAAAAAACATGTCACAGTTTATTGTCTAGTATTTATTAACGTCTAGCTATTAAATCATTTGATACTGATGAGACACTAGTTAAAGGCAATGAGATGAATATCATTAACGTACTTATTTTGCACAATATTAATACTATGAAAAAGAGAATTCGGCGAAGAAAATTTTCTTTACGACGAAATCATTTACTTAAGCTGAAACGATTTGTCCAACCTCTCACCCTTCCTTGGCCCTGATTCCCTTAATGGATATGTTTCTGGTTGTTTTTGCTTTTTATCCTTTTTTTCTGCACTTTTATTTGATCATTATCGATTTTTTGTTTTTTAAATTACTGTCTTATATTTTTAACTCTAATCAGTTATTATTATGCACTTAATATTGTTTGTTTGAATCTTCCCATTGATGTTTAGCACTGCAACTGGTCAGTCTCTTATTGGCATATGTACATACTGTGCGTACTGCCTCGATATAGTCTTACTTCATAAACATTGTAAGGAAAGATGAATAGTGGCTAGCAGTGGAATCCAGTTTGACACGCGTTTTGTCCTATTTGGGACTCGTCAGCTGAATGTACCTGCATGTCAGAGTTGATGTTCACTCTGTTACTATTATTATTATTATTATTATTGTTATTATTATTATTATTACCTTATACAAGTTTTCTTGATTATTATTCAGTCTATTATTATGACCTTTGCGTTTGTCGCTTTTCTTCATATCTGTCAATTGGACTATGATCTGACCCATAAATTATTTTCTTCCTTACCCCTTGATTAGTACATAACCTCATCTGTTATTTATTATCGAATCAATTTATAATGCAATCTTTTCTAGCCTCCTATAGATATATATTTTCCATATAACTATATATATACGAATGTACAGCTTAGGTAAATGATTTCATTGAAAAGAAAGTTTTCTTCACTGAATTCTTTTGTTTTCTTATTAATACTATGAATAATGAATACAAATTCACAGAAGATTTGTGTTATTTTTTATTTTTTTGATTATATTTCTTCTTATTCACTGACATAAAGGATAAATTAAATTATTAGAAGTAATAAAAAAGTATCTCTGATTTGTTTATATCAAGTTGTCAAATTGTCTATTGAATACACCCTAGATACAACACAATTCAAAATAAATATACAATTAAATTTTTTTATTTTTTTACATATTAAATAAATTCTAGCTAACTCTTAGCAGTTAATTCAATGTCAATCATACATTAACATATACAAAATAGATTGTTATAGCTTATAGAAAAATGTGTTATTTACAATTAAAAATCTTTTTTTTCTTTACAAATATAGATGATAAATTAAGAATGTTAATATTAATAGTTGAGATCATGAATCAATTGAAGCTAGATCATCATGGAAAACATGGAAGCATTGGATGAGCACTGTTAAGGAGTCCCACAATAGGACGAAACGGCCATCCAGTCCTTCCAAGTTTTCCATGGTGATCTAACTTCAATTAATTCACGATCTCAACTATTGAAATTACTAATAATAACCACAAAAATCCATTTTGTATTTAGGAATAGTTTTAAGACAAATATCTTGCTTCAATAAATGTTGATAATTCCAAATAGGCATATTCTATTATGAAATAATAAATGAAGCTATCATTGAAATTAGTTTAATGGATACCTTGTATAGATATGAAATTTTTTTTTCTTTACATAATTGAATGAATTTAACAACAACAACAACAACATTCTAAATATGATTCACCTCGCAACATATTTTGAACACATGTCCATGGCCATTGTATGACTTTTAATAAATTTTCTGTACATTCAGTTAATTTTTCTGAACATGGATTACATATAATTAATAATATATATATCCATGATAAACATAATGATATAGGTATAGCAAATATAATTAATGTTATAAACCATAATACACTATTACAATGACGTTTAGATTTAGAAGACATAACATTAAAACTACTTTATTTAAAAAAAAACAACTTTCGAATTGTTCAGGTATTTAGTCAATTAATATGATTGGATAAATTATTCGCTCAAAAAAATCAATAAACACGTGTGATTGGACAACGAATTATATATATATATATATATATATCAATTTATTGATCACATGACCGGTATATATATTGTCAATTATTCTTTGAATACTGTTGACATGTAAGTACTTTATACTTTATATAAAACTTTTGTCCTTTTTTGTCCATATTACTAGTTTATTGTACTTTAATAAAAGTTAATTTAGTCAACCATCACAACAATAAAAAACTATTTTTATGAATAAATTATTTTAAAAAAATTGATAGGGAAACATCATCAATTATTAAGTATTGATAATAATAATAATACTGGAGAATTTATTGAAAACTGAAAAGTGTTTGAAATATTTTTTTAAATAATTATTGATTTAAAATAAGTTTTATTTAATTTTAGAAATTAATTGTAGTTATATTTTCTTATTTAATTTGATTGGTCAACTTATTAAATTATTTTCATAGTTGAAATCATGAGTCAATTGAAACTAGACCACCATGGAAAACCTCAAAGCACTGGACGGCCGTTTCGTTCTATTATGGGACTCCTCAGCAGTGCGCATCCATGATCCCGCCTCGCTCCAGAGCACTTAACCGATAAACCACTGAGACGGCATCCAACGGTGTTAAAGTCTAACTTCAACCAATCCACAATGTTTGAGCAACTGTTCACCAATTGTCTTCAGCAAGTTGATATCTCTACAACACACTTGGTTGAATTCCACTGGTCACTGCCGGCCCAGTGGTCTATCGGTTAAGTGCACTGGAGCGAGACTGGTAGTTCCTGGGTTCCAATCTTGCGAGGCGAAATCATGGATGCGCGCTGCAGAGGAGTCCCACAGTGGGACGAAACAGGCGACCAGTGCTTTCATATTTTCCATGGTGGTCTAGCTGCAATTGATTCATGATCTAAACTATGAAAAAAACTCTTGTTTTCCATCTCATAAAATAAACTTAAATTAAATGTTCAGTTGTATTCTTACCAACGGATTTTCTTTGAAGAGTGAGATTTTAAAATTGATACTGGTCTAGTAATCAATTAAGAAATCAGATTTTTGAAAGATGAGTATTAAAGCCCAGATAAAATAGATATGTAAAAGGTAATTGCCTAAATAGGAAATTTGAGCAAAAAGAAAGGAAAATGAAGCAGATTTATGATAATGACAGCTCGTAAAGTTAGAAGTAGTTTGGAACATATCACTTCTCAACACAAATATAAGGCTTGAATCGATAAAGTTTTAAACTTCTTTCGTACAAAACGCTTTAATTTTAACTTCTTTGAGCTAGATTTTTCGACTTAGGGATAAATGATGATCATTGTGGAGATAGATGACTAAAACAGTCCATAAGTTATGAATAACTCAGTTTACAAAGTACATAGTTTCATAATAGACCATGATCTACTTTATTTACTTTGTTCGTAAATTTGTACTTAACTAATCTACAACTCGATGACTGTCGATGTTTCGATTGCATCCTCTGAAGAAAGTAAGAGAATAAAATCTTATATTCCAATTATTATAAACAATTCCCGATTTCTCAGATATTCTGAGTGTCAATACATCATATGTTGACTTAATATGTGTAAATATTTTGAAAAAAACTTTAAAAAAAACTTATTTATGATCGGTTACATATTATCAGGGTTTTATTCAGTTTTGAATATTAATCTAATGTTTATTTCGGTTTGTTGTTGATTGTCAGTTAAATCACTTTGTAATTGCTTTTGAAAAACTTCAATATAAGTCGCAAACATCACAGTTAGTGTTTATTGTGTTTATAAATTGAGCAGCCTAATCCTGTAATGAAAAACCTTGCTAAAAATATTACTAACCAGAATAAACAAACTAAATAATTTATACTCTTTCCAGGGAATTGAAGGTTCTCCATTCAGAAGAATTATGATATTTCATGGTGAAAGCCTAGATTCTTTGGAAGTTATGAGGTCGAGGCCCCTTCTAACAACAATTAATATAGGCCAGGACAATGTAGTAAACCGAAAAGACCAATCAAATAGCTGCAGAAGTGAAGAGACACAACTTAACGGTGCTCAGAATAAGTAAAACCCATTGGACCCAATCTAGACAGAAAATATTAAATCAGGGGGCGATGAAGTTGTACTATGGTCACGAAGAAGAAAATGCTTCACACACTCAGCGAGTTGCGCTGATGCTGTTTAAAGGAGCACGTAAAGCACTTTTAAGATGTGAGTCTCATGGATCGAGGATCATCGAAACATCCTTCAAAACACAGAAAAAGTGAATCACCATGAATGTTATTCAATGTTATGCACCCACCAGTGATAGCAACGAAGACGGTAAATATCAGTTTTGTGAGAGGCTGCAATCGACCATAGCGAAGTGTCCAAGAAATGATCTGACCATCTTGATAGGAGATCTAAACGCCAAAGTCGGAATGGACAACACCGGATATGAAGATATCATGGAACGACATGAGCTTACATGGAAGAAGGGAACGAGAATGGTGAAAAATTTGAGAATTTATGTGCATTCAGCAAAATGATTAAAAGAGGCACAATATACCCCAAAAAACGTATACACAAAGTTACATGGTTCTCACTGGATCACACTACAGAGAACCACATCGTTCATATTTGTATCGCTAAAAAATTCGGAAGGAAACTGCCATGATGAACAACTGTAAAAAGATCAAAGAATCACTAAGTTTAACTTGTCAGGAGGTCCTGGGCCTCAATAAGCATCATCATCATAAGGAATGGATGTTCATCGAAAACCTGGACAGGAATAAAGAAAGGAAGAACAACAAGACAGCAATTAATAACAGTCGAACAAGAACAGGGAAAGTCAAGGTACATGCTGAATACACGAAAGCAAACAAGAAAGTAAAGAAGAGCATTGGATAAAACAAGCACAAATACGTGGAAGAGCTATCAACGACAACAGAAAAGGCTTCACGTGAAGGAAATATAAAACAACTATATGATACAACGATCAAGCTGGTAGACAAATATAGTAAACCAGAGAGACCAATCAAGTACAAACAAGGCAAGCCAATCACTCAGTTTCAGAAACAGAGGAACAGGTAGGAAGAACACTTTGAAAAACTCTTGAATAAACCAGCCCCACTGAAACCACGAAATATCGAAACAACACCTACAGACCTTTCTACAGATTTCACTCCACTAACAATAGAACAAATCGGCATGACCATCAGAAAGATCAACACTGGGACAGCAGTAGGACCTGGCAATATACTAGCTGAAGCAGTGATCTCACACTTAGAAGCAGCTGCAAACATGCTCCATATTCTATTCAGGACCATTTGAGAGGCGAAATAAGTGCCACTGACAGACTGGAAAGAAGGACACATCAAGATACCAAGGAAAGGAGATCTGAGCAAATGTGAAAACTACACAGGCATCACACTACTATCGGTACCGGGAAAAGGTTTCAGCAGAGTGCTGCTCAACCGGATGAAAGATTCGGTAGACTCCCAACTTCGTGATCACCAGACCGGATTTCATAAGGATCGGTCGTCCACAGACCAAATCGTGACACTATGGATCATCGTTGAACAATCTGTTGAATGGAACTCGTCATTATACATCAACTTCCTTGACTGCGAGAAAGCATTTGATAACGTGGATAGAACATTATTGGAAAATTGATCAACACTATGGAGCATCTGATAAAATCATCAGTATCGTACGGAATTCATACGATGGACTACACTCCAAAGTCGTGTATGGAGGACATCTGATAGGTCCATTCCAAGTGAGTATCGGAGTCAGAAAAGGCTGTCTATTCTCTCCCTTTCTTCTGGTGGTTGACTGGATTATGAAGACCTCTATATCTCAGAAAAGCATGGAATACAATGGACAGCTGGGATATAACTTGTAGTGTCGCTTGGTATGTTAAGCTCTTATACTTTATTCTAGCTTCTGGACAAGCCAATTCACCTGTCCATCATGAATCATGTTTCGACCTTGTTAATTATTCACTTATTAATCCTGACTATTTTTATATGGGCGTATGTGTGTACACTTCTCCTACTTATCACATGTCTGTCATTTATTCTTGTCTGACCATAAATATTGATTAACGCTTGATAAAAGTGAGTTGGCTTACCCGCCATCTCCAATGCATGTCATTTTTGATTCGCTCGCTGGTATTTGCTCATGTGCTTATAGCTTTCTGGCCTGTGTTATTTGACAATAAATGGTAGCTGCCGCTTCTCTTTGCCTTCTGATTTTACGCAACGTTAAGATTTGTATTATAACGGTTATCGAGGTGAATGATTAGCGAAGCACGGCACTACAAACTAGACAATTTGTACTTCGTAGATGACCTATCACTTTCATCACATACACACTAAAATATGCACGTCGAGACAACCAGTGTGTCAGCAGCCTCTGCATCAGTAGGCCTCAATATACACAAGGGAAAAAGCAAGATCCTCAAATACGACACAGAGAACACCAACCTAAGTACATTTGATGGAGAAACTCTGGAACGGGTGGAAACGTTCACTTATCTACCTGTACAGCATCATAGATGAACGTGGAGGATCTGATGCAGACTATTAAGCAGGGATTGGTAAATTACGGGTAGCATTCCTGCAGTTGAAGAACATACTGAACTCAAAACAATTGTCTGTCAGACATCACTAGAGTCATAATCTTCAATATGAACGTCAAAACGGTTCTACTGTACGGAACTGAAACTTTGAGAACTACAACAACCATCATCAAATATGTACAAGTATTTAAAAAAGATTGTCTACTCAAGTTACTCAATGTCCGTTGACCGAGTAGGACATGCATTTCGGAAATCATCAAACTGCATCACGAGGTAAGCACTAACTCGGAATCCTGAAGGTAAAGGAAGAAGAGGAGGATCAAGGAACACATTGAACCGACAATCGGAAGCAGACATCGAGAGGACGAATAGCAACTGTAACTAACTGGAAAGGTTTGCCCATGACAAAGTTGGATAGATAATGCCAGTGGGCGGTCTACGCTATTCCACAAGTAGTAACAGGTTATCTTTGTCTTACCTTTTTTATCTACATAGTTCCAAAAGATCTGTTTTTTAAATCCCCAGATTTTTTGTGACGTACTGTGTTTTCAAGAAAATGATATTGAGTGACTCACCGTTTCGAACCATAAGTTTATTTGGTGAGTACAATAAATAACATAATGATGATATATCAGGAATAAATTATTTCCGAATTGTGTATTTGAAGGCAATGAAAGTTGTGAACTCTTACTGTAAGTAGAGTAACGTTCTTGCGATCAGTCTACATTTGTTTTTTATATAAATCTCAAATTACCGATAATTATTTCAGAGTTAAATTTAATATCCAGAATGCTTGGTGTTTAACAACTAAAATTGATATAAAGTACAGACCCATCTTACTCTGTCTGACTAAATAACACTTTTATACTTTTATTACAAACAAAATATAGACAGAAGAATTAAAGAAATGCCACATGCATATTCTTAAACTTAAACCAATTTTAACGATTTCTACAAGATATAAATGAGTTCTTTACCCTATATTTTCGATAGTAATTGAGATCTCATCATTATCATGCTAAGTAATTCTATCAGGAGCAATTCAACTGGTTGATAAGAGTATTAATTAGACTGAGAGGAACTTAATTGATCTTAGAATGACCCACAGCAATGATCTTCTCCAGTACCCTATGACAATTGATCACACCCATATTTCTGTTAATACTTTATACATAAGCATGTTGTTTTGTACGAAAACTATTCTTCCGGTCAGTAAACTTGACTATGAGTTATCCAAGATCTTATGTCAATAATACCGTCTTGAAAGTAGCCATTATTTAACCACATCTTTACATTGCATAATATCTATCGGTCGATATTACACTAATTTATTTTGGTAATTCAAATCTTCGCCAGTCAAAACCGAATTCATAACGAGTAGACAATTTTCTAATATTGTGAATCTGAAGATGACTCAAAATTTTTAAATCCTATCGATTAGATACTAAAAATGCTTTGGATATTCAACATTCAATAGCTGTGGTACTATGTTATTTTAATAACAAAGACTTCAGGATTAAGAATTTATCACTTTTATATCAATGAATATCTTCCGTCCATAAACCATAAGGGATTCACGAATTCATTTTTTTTGGAAATGTTCTGACGTTTTTTATGCGACATTAACATTTTAGAATATCTCAGATATTTTGTGTTGGAGGAGTTTCAAACATATCCCTCTTCAAAGTCCCTAGGGACCCAGGAATGCCAGAAAACGTTTTATCCAGTCAACGTTGTATGGAATCTTCTCAGAAACATATAGAAAATGCAGAATTGCAAGCTACGGTTTTGATTGGATATTTACCTATGATGTTACTATATTTAGTATGGTTCCGGAAATTTCAAGAAGCTCCAGGTCGCATTTAACTACAAACACCCTCTTTTTTTCTGTACAAAAGCCAACCTTGGAGTAAAGCGTTCTTTTTGCACTCCAGATTTTTTCTCTTGTGTTTAAGTTACCGGGTAGATTTAGCCTGGGATTGTTAGCAAGCGGTTAGGAAATCAGATCGAGTATTCATTCTACATCGCCACTACCTATGGAACTTTTTTGAATAAATTTTAATCCCTGTACAAAGACGGATAATTTTGCTGAGCCTCTACACACACAGCTTAAACCTATTCCGAAGTCAATATGGGGTAACCATAGATGAGCAGTTGAAATGCATCTGAATTAGGCTTACTTTATAATTAACGCTTGATATAAAAGTTCGAAACTAATCCAGGAAAACATCTTATATTTACATGAAATTGTAGTAGTAAATGTTTAATCAGTCAAAATACACAATTATGGTAGAGTCGATATTAAATTGTCTTTTATGTTGTTTATCCTTATCAACTGCTTATAATACTAACCAATTTGACAAAACAGATTATTCGAATTGTAAGATAATATTAATGTGGAAAGTTAAAACAAGTAGCTATGACTGCTAGTAATAAAAATAGGTCATCAATTAGAAAAATATTTCAAGAAACGCCGATAATCAGTGCGGTAAGATTATATTAGAATAACAAAATTAACTGTATGAGTTATATGACAATTGTCAAAAAGACTAAAGGATTTACCTAGTTTGAAAGAACTGACTGATTAAAGACCATACTGTTAGAGTAAAGGTATATTTGAAGTGCATGAAGTAACGAACAAAACAGAAGACTTATGAGTTAATAAATAATATTAAAATGAATTTAAACTATTCTAGCAACAACAAATTAACAACTGTCATCTTCGGAATTTATAGACTAAGTTGAATTCAGTTGGCTGTTCTCGTCTTGACAATTCATATCGTGAGAGCGAAGTACCTGCGCTAGTGGCCTCGAACATATTGCTATTTATCCTTTTAAATGTCAGCTCATCTCTAGCCTATATTTTCTAAGTTCATAAAACGCCTTCGTGAGTCATTGTTGGGTTAATTAACTGTTACTCAAACTTCAGTCTTCTCAAAAATGAATAAATTTCCGATAGTGTAATAAGAAAACGAAGATTATCAGAACTATGTGATATATTAGCGCAATACATTTCGAACAATCTGATCGCACATATACTTGTTAAGAACATTTATATATAAAAATAAATGGTCAACTAGACTGGAAATGGGGGTAAGAATAGACAAGGATAATAATAATAATAATAATAATAATAATAATAATAATAATAATAATAATAATAATGAGAAAGCTGGTCGGCGGAGCTCAGTGGTCTATCGGTTAAGGGCTTCGGCTCGAGACTGGTAGGTCCTGGGTTCGAATCTCGCTCGCGAGAGCGGGTTCGTGGATGCGCACTGCTGAGGAGTCCCATAATAGGACGAAACGGCCGTCCAGTGCTTCCAGGTTTAACTCCGCCTGTAGCTCTTCTAGAGTTACTGCCGGTCCCAAGCCCGGGTAAAGGAGGAGGGTTGGGCATGGGGTTAGCGACCCCATCCCGTAGAAAAGCTAACTCGCTAAAAAAAACACTAACCAGAAAAAATTATTCAAACCATTTAAATTCTGCCCTCCAAGTTGAAGGAATAATTATGACGTCTCATGATGAAAGCCGAAATTCTTCGGAAGTCACGAGACCGATGCACCTTCTAACAACCAGAGCAACACTCTTTATAGGTACATGGAACGTCCGGACAATGTGGGAGACAGGAAAGACCAGCCAAATAGCAATGGAAATGAGGAGATACAACTTGGCAGTACTCGGAATCAGCGAAACCCATTGGACACAAACTGGACAACAAAGGCTAGGTACAGGAGAGATGCTGCTGTACTCCGGTCACGAAGGGGAAAATGCTCCACACACTCAGGGAGTTGCTCTAATGCTGTCCAAAGAAGCAAGAAATGCACTTGTGGGATGGGAATCTCATGGACCCAGGATAATCAAAGCATCATTCAGAACAAAGAAGCAAGGGATCACAATGAACGTTATCCAATGTTATGTACCCACCAATGATAGCAACGACGATGATAAAGATCAGTTCTATAAAAGGCTGCAATCAATTATGGAGAAGTGCTCACGAAAGGACCTCACCATCCTTATGGGAGATCTAAATGCTAAAGTTGGAGTGGACAACACAGGATATGAAGATATAATCGGACAACACGGACTAGGAGAAAGAAATGAAAATGTGGAGAGACTTGCAAACCGATGCGCATTCAACAAATTGGTTATAGGCGGCACAATATTCCCACACAAACGCATACACAAAGCTACATGGATCTCACCGGACCATACCACAGAGAACCAGATAGATTACATCTGTATCAACAAAAAATTCCGAAGATCAATGGAAGATGTGAGAACCCGGAGAGGAGCTGACATAGCTTCAGATCACCACTGGCTGGTTGTGGCCAAGATGAGACTGAAGCTAAAGAAACACTGGACAACTGGACAAACAGCACTACAAAGGTTTAATACAGCCTTCCTTCGAGATGCTAACAAGCTCCATGAATTCAAGATAACTCTCAACAACAGGTTACAAGCTCTACAGGATCTACTGAAAGAACAAGAAACTACTTTGGAGGACAACTGGAAAGGGATAAAAGAAGCACTAACTTCAACGTGTCAGCAGATTCTTGGTCCTAAGAAGCATCATCACAAGGAATGGATCTCTATGGGAACTCTGGACAAAATTCGAGAAAGGAAGAACAAGAACCTAGCAATTAACAACAGCCGAACACGAGCAGAGAAAGTCAAAGCACAAGCAGACTACGCAGAAGCAAACAGAGAAGTGAAGAAAAGCATTAAAGCCGACAAGCAGAAATACATGGGAGAACTAGCAACGGCGGCGGAAAAAGCTGCAAGAGAAGGGAATATGAAACAACTATATGATACAACGAAAAAATTGGCAGGGAGATATAGCAAACCAGAGAGACCAGTCAAGGACAAAGAAGGAAAGACAATCACTGAGATTCAAGAACAGAAGAAAAGATGGGCAGAATACTTCAAGGAACTGCTGAATAGACCAGCCCCATTGAATCCACCGAACATCGAAGCAGCCCACACAGACCTTCCAATAGATGTCACTCCACCAACGATCGAAGAAGTCAAGATGGCCATCAGACAAATCAAAAGTGGGAAGGCGGCAGGACCTGACAATATACCAGCAGAAGCACTGAAGTCAGACATTGAAATAACTGCAAACATGCTTCACCTTCTATTCAAAAAGATTTGGGAAGAGGAACAAGTGCCAACGGACTGGAAAGAAGGATATCTCATCAAGATACCAAAGAAAGGAGATCTGAGCAAATGCGAGAACTACAGAGGTATCAGTTTGTTATCAGTACCAGGAAAAGTTTTCAACAGAGTGCTGCTGAATCGGATGAAAGACGCAGTAGACGCCGAACTAAGGGATCATCAGGCTGGATTCCGTAAGGATCGGTCGTGCACAGACCAGATTGCGACACTACGGATCATCGTTGAACAATCAGTTGAGTGGAACTCATCACTATACGTCAACTTTATTGACTACGAGAAGGCGTTTGACAGCGTGGACAGGAGAACATTATGGAAACTTCTTCGACACTATGGAGATCCTCAGAAGATCGTCAACATTATCCAAAACTCATACGATGGATTACAGTGCAAAGTGGTGCATGGAGGACAGCTGACAGATGCATTTCCAGTAAGGACCGGAGTCAGACAAGGCTGTCTACTCTCCCCATTCCTCTTCCTTCTAGTGATTGACTGGATTATGAAGAATTCGACATCTGAAGGGAAATACGGAATACAATGGACAGCTCAGAATCAATTAGATAATTTGGACTTCGCAGATGACCTAGCCCTCCTCTCTCATACACACGACCAAATGCAGATGAAGACAGCAAATGTAGCAGCAGCCTCCGCATCGATAGGCCTCCACATTCACAAAGGAAAAAGCAAGATTCTCAAATGCAACACGGAGAACACCAACCCAATCACACTTGATGACGAAACTCTGGAAGAGGTGGAAACATTCACGTACCTGGGGAGCATCGTTCATAAACAATGCGGATCTCATGCAGATGTAAAGGCGAGGATTGGCAAAGCAAGGGCAGCATTTCTACAATTGAAGAACATATGGAACTCAAAACAACTCTCAACTAATTTCAAGGTCAGAATCTTCAATACGAACGTCAAGACAGTCCTACTGTATGGAGCTGAAACGTGGAGAACTACTACGGCCATCATCAGGAAGGTACAAGTATTTATAAACAGTTGTCTACACAAAATACTCAACATCCATTGGCCGGATACTATCAGCAACAGCGTTTTATGGGAGAGGACAAACCAGCTTCCAGCTGAAGAGGAAATAAGGAAAAGACGTTGGAAGTGGATCGGACATACATTAAGGAAATCACCAATGTGCATCACGACTCAATCCCTAACTTGGAATCCGGAAGGGAAGCGGAAAAGAGGAAGGCCAAAGAACACACTACGCCGGGAAATAGAAGCCGATATGAAAAGGATGAATGTGAACTGGAAAGAACTGGAAAGGAAGGCTCAGGACAGAGTTGGATGGAGAATGCTGGTGAGCGGCCTATGCTCCTCGACGAGGGGTAACAGGCGTAAGTAAGTAAGTAAGTAATTCGTAACCTAATCACTCTGGTTAATAAGCTAATATATTACCGGAATAAGGTCAAGGTGAGGACAAACCGTTTTTGAATACACAAAGGGGGTTTGAATTTTCGTATGGCCAAGGCTTCAATAAACCTTAGTATACGCCCTTTTACACTTTCATACAACACCACAAAAGCTGAAATTAGATCAATATCTTTGTCTTTCAGGTTTTCGATGAGGCATGAATCTTGTTCTTTCCTTGATAATGACCTTTGATGTCCAATACATTTTGATAATTAGTGGTTTAAGCCCTTATTTCATTAAAAGGCTATTTGAATCACCTCTAAATGGTAAGGTGATGTAGATAGGCTTTTGTTCCACCAAGGCTATAGTAAGCCTCACTGTATCTTGAAC